ATGTGTGTGTGTGTGTGTGTGTGTGTGTGTGTATGATGTGCGAGTGCTTTTAGCTGTGTGTGTTCATGTGCCTGTGTAAGGAGATCTTTGTGAACGCCCATTTTGTATCTTCATTTATTTGTAACAATGCCAATTAGTGTTCATCATCAATTCTAGATTAGAGTACATTTTATTTATAGCTTTTGTATAAGCCTGTGTGCAGGGTTCTGTGAGTGAGTGAATGTGCATTTCAGAGTTATACTTTGCATTCGTAAGTTTGAGTGCATGTTTGGGAAACATAGTATTGGAGAAAGAAAAAAAGTGATGACACTATAGCAACAAAACGTTCACTGCAAGTTACGCATAGGTGCGATTTGGACAATATCGGAAAGAGCCGAAGCTATGAAAAAGAAAAGCTAAGTCGTTACTGCCATGGTCCTGGCTGAGCGTATAGATACGTTAAAATTTATCATCATCATCACCATCATCATCATCATCATCATCATCATTATCATCATCATCGTCATCATCATAATTTAGTTATTTGGACGAGTGGAGGTGCCGCTAAGCATATTGACAATGGAGCCGAAAAAGAGCCTAGCTCTCGCTCGAAGATTTCTTCGTGGAGTCCGCCAGGCCCATTAAGGAAACAAAAGCATCCTCAGCGTCATCTTCATCACCATCATCTTCATCATCTTCATCATCATCATCATCATCATCATGTTTTAAAGTAGAAAGAAAATAGACTTGAATAGGGATTTCACGTTAAATCAGATGTTTGTATAGGCCTGGGTATTCATCATCATCATCATCATCATCATCATCATCATCATCATCATCATCATCATCATCATCATCATCATCATCACCATCCTTTCTCGCGACCTCCCACAGTATAGATAAAAGTTCTTCATTAACTTATCTCTTGGATTATAGTCTCCACGTCTGTCCAGATGTATCCCATTCTGTTTTATGTTCATTTCCTTGTACCTCCTCCGAGTGTTTTAAGGTCTCCCTCTCTTTCGTTCTCTTTCTTTGTGGATTCCATCTAAAAGCTTGATGGGCAATGTCCAAATTTGGTTTTATCAAAGTGTGTCCAATCCACTTCCATTTTCCCTCACTGATTTTTTAAATCTATTGTCTGTTAATTTGTTTTAGCTCTCAAAGTTTTTCTTTTTGTATAGTGTTGGGCCAGTGGGTTTTTTAGGACCTTTCGAAAGCAAATTTAACGTTGACAAATGCATTTTAGCTCCTGCTAATGCTGGTCTTTTGTTTTCTTCCCTTTCAGACAAAGTGGTGGACTGGATTCAGTTAACGCTGAGAGTATGTGCTCCCTCTGAACACCTCGAGTGATGAGGTCAGAGCCGAAGGAACGTCAGAAAAGAG